TGAGTTGGAGTCTCTGTCACCCAGACTGGTGTGCAGTCGCTGCTCCCGGCCACTGCAGCCTCAACCTACTGGGCCACTGCACTCCAGTCTGGGCGACAGAGTGAGACTCCAACTCAAAAAAAAAAAAAAATTTATCAAGATAGGCTACATTCTGAGACATAAAACATACATCAATACATTTTAAAGGGTTCAAGTTGTGTAAATTATATTCTCTGACCACATTGGAATTAAATTAGAAATCAGTGACAGAAAGATCCCTGGAAAATGCCCAGCCATTTATAAAAAAAAAACACAAACAGACATCTAAATCAACCATGAATTAAACAAGAATCAAAAGGGACACAGAAAGTCTTTTCAGGATTTGTGAGATGATGATAGAGTCATACACAGGGACACATTTATAGCACTAAATGCCTGTACTGGAAAAAAAAGGCAGGTCTTGATGACTTGAGCTTGCATTCAAACACCTAACAAAAGAACAAATTAAACCCAAAGTAAGCATAAGAAAGGAAATAGTAAAGAGCAGAGCAGAAGCACTGGATAGAAAACAACAGCAAAAATCAAACCATAAATTGTTTTTAAAGATACAGCTGTCTAATGGGCCAGGTATGGTGGTTCATGCCTATAATCCCAGCACTTTGAGAGGTTGAGGTGAGAGGACTGCCTGAGCTCATGAGTTCAAGACTAGCCTGGGCAACTTGGTGAGATCTCATCTCTACAATAAATCAAAAAATTAGCCAGGCATGGTGGCCCATGCCTGTAGTTCCAGCTACTTGGAAGGCTGAGGCAGAAGGATCGCCTGAGCCCAGCAGGTCGAGGCTGCAGTAGCCATGAGCGTACCACTGCACTCCAGCCTGGGCAACAGAGTGAGACTCCAACTCGAAAAGAAAAAAAAAAGGTCAGGCTCAGTGGTTCAGCCTGTAATCCTGCGCTTTGGGAGGCCGAGGTGAGTGAATTGCCTGAGCTTGAGGGTTCGAGACCCGCCTGGGCAACTTGGTGAGACCTCATCTCTATAATAAATCAAAAAATTAGCAGGGCGTGGTAGCGTGCGTCTGTAGTTCCAGCTACTTGGAAGGCTGAAGCGGAAGGATCGCCGGAGCCCAGCAGGTCGAGGCTGCGGTGACTGGGAGCGACCACTGCACTCCAGTCTGGGCGACAGAGTGAGACTCCAACTCAAAAAAAAAAAAAGAAAAGAAAAAAAAAGATACAGACTGATATAAGAGAGAAGAAAAATCATCGACATCAGGAATGAGAGGGGCTATCACTACAGAGTCTATAGATTATATTCTCCAATAGGAGGACCAAGTGCTACTTGAAAAATGACTGATTCTAGGGTTGGGGCAGGGAATATTCAAACTGAACCTGAAGCATCTTGCAGTGTCAGAAAGCAAGTTAGCACTCCAAAACTACAATGGCCGGGCATGGTGCTCATGCCTGCAATCCCAGCACTTTGGGAGGCCGAGGCGGGAGGACTGCTTGAGCCCAGGAGTTTGACACCAGCCTGACAACATAGTGAGACCTTATCTGTACAAAAAGTCGAAAACTCAGTCAGGCATTGTGGCGTACACCTGTAGTCCCAGCTGCTCAGGAGGCTAAGGCAGAAGGATCACCTGAGCCCAAGAGGTTGAGGCTGTGGTGAGCTGTGATTATGCAACTGTACTCCAGCCTGGGCAACAGAGCGAGACCCCCAACTCAAAAAACAAACACACACAGACCAATAGGGGGTATGAGACACAGGAGCCGATCTGAAAAAGCTCCTAATGGCCAAAACTGACACAGTCTGGGCAACATATAAATGAGGTGACACTGAACTATAACCTAAAGTATAGAATAAATATCCATGAATTGATGCTGATATAAATGAATGATTGAATAAATTAATAAATGATCGAATAAATGATCGAATAAATTAATGCATGAGGCAGAAGAGACAAATTTCCCATGCAGAAGAATTCTAAGTAAAATGTGTAGATAGTCCACAGTGAAGCTAGGAGAACACTGTACGTGTGGGCTATATACGGTGACTTTCTTCTCAAGAGGACAGCGTGCAAAGAGGGATAAAAGTAGAAAAACTGACAAATACTGCCTCAGCCAGGTGATCAAGATTCATTTCAACTGCTCACAAGGTGCCTCATGCCTGTCATCCTAACACTTTGGGAGGCTGAAGTGGGAGGATCACTTGAGGCCCAGAGTTCAAGATCAGCCTGGGCAACACAGTGAGACATCTCTACAATAATTTTTTAAAAAATTATCTGAGCATGGTGACACGCACGTATAGTCCCAGCTATTCAAGAAGCTAAGGCAGAAGAACCACTTGAAGCCCAGAAGTTCAAGGTTGCAGTGAACTATGATTATGCCACTGTACTCCAGCCTGGGTCACAGTGAGATTCTGCCTTTAAAAAAAAGGAAAAAAGAAAAAAATCCACTTTGACAGTCACAAATTGTGTTGG